GGCAGTTGCATGTGATCTGGTTTTGATACGTGATTTTAATCACGTTTTTCCAGAAGGCAGAAATCCACTTTCTAACTTTAAAAACCGAGCAGATGAAATGCCATATCGATCACTTCCTGCTCCGAAGGAACGAACTTAGGAACTTCAGAGATTGCAGTGTTATCCTCGGGTAAACTGTCATAAGCCAGCACCACCTACTGGTCCTTGATCATCTCTCTGAAACAGCCCATTGATACGGTCGACACGACGGCAGCTTCAAAAATACAGTGGTGGAAGCTCGAAGGGAAGCTGAAAAAAGCATTAAAAAGGAAAGTTCTGAGAAAAATGACGAAGGAAGACTGGCATAAGAAAGTGGACAAAGTCTGGGAGCGGATAGGCAGCATAATAATGCGGAATGCCAGAGACTTAGCAGAAGAAACAAAAGGCACAACACATTCAAAAAGAAACGTGGTGGTGGAATGCGGACGTTCAGACGACCCTACGACTGAAAAAAGAGCTGTTCAAAAAATGGCAAGTATCAGACAAGACAGAGTAAAATATGCGATATGAATAAGGGATGCAAAGAAAGTCATCGCCGAAGCCAAGTCTATAGCGTGAATAGCTTATACGAAAAACTAGCAGCGAAAGAGGGGAGAAGGATATCTGTCGCATAGCAAAAACCAGAGAAAGAAGATCAAGAGACGTCGGTAATGTGAAACGTATAAGAGACGAAAGAAGATGGTGCTGACCGATGAGAAAGGTATTCGCAACCGATGGCGAAGGCACTTCCAAACGCTACTAAACGAAGAGCAACCAACCACTTCCAGACCGCAGAAGAGATCCCACAAAACCAGGATCTATTCGAAAAGCTCTCACCTGAGGAAGTGGAGCAGACCTTGAGTTGAATGAAAAACAAGAGAACCCTTGGTCCATATTTAGCTCCAATAGAAGTATGGACAATAACTGGACCAAGAATACATGGTGTGGCTTTGTGCATTAATCATGCATTGTGAAAAGATGCCAGAGTCAGGGGGTAGGGGTAATTTGATACCAGTATACGAAATGAAAGAAGGCATGCTTACCAGTGATAACTGGCAGGGAATTAAGCTGTTTAACCACACCATGAAACAGGACAAACAGTGCTGGACAGAACACTGAAACAGATCGAAGCCATCGCGAATCGGTGCCAGCTGATTTGATTTTTTACCAAGTCCGTGCAACCACAAAAGCCATCTTTGCTGTAATTTAAATCTTCGAAACGTACAGAGAATGTACAAGGACCTTCATCTTTTTCTACGCTTGAAGAAAGCTTCCGATCAGATTCCAAGGCAGAGAGTTTTATAGCGCATGAGAAATAATTCGGTGCCAGAAAATTGTCAGGCTTACCGAAGTCATGTATGTTATATAGTGACAGCGATAGTTCGAAGTACTTGCGTTAAAACTGAAGAATTCCTTCTACGGGTATAAGTTTATGAAGCTTCAGTACTGAGCCGATTTCCTTTCTTGATGGCGACAGACGCGGGGTGATATGCCAAAAGCAGCTCCATACTGTGTGCTGTATGCAGATGACGTTATGCGGAGCAGAGAAGCAGCAGAAGCAAAAACCAAAGCATGGAGAACAGTCCTTGAGAAGAACGGCCTTCGATTCAGCAGAAACAGCTCAGAATATATGGCAGGCTGTTTCAGTGGAGAAAACAGACTGTAAGCCAAAAATTCAGGGAAAGTTGCTAGGACATGCTGGCTGAAACCAAAAAAATCATGTATTTTGCTTCCATTTTACCAAGACAGTGGTAAAATCGAGAGGGAATTAAGAGATTTGTTTTGTAAAGCGTGGATCAAATGAAGAGATGTGAGACTGGCACTGTACCATAAGAAGATCCCCATCAGACTAAGGGGAGAGGTGTACAGAATGAGAGTAAGAACGGTGTTTTGTCGGAGCGTTATATTTGACTACTCTACACGAACAACAGCTCGTTAGAAATGCATATGTTCAAATAGATGAGTTATATCAGCTGTCAGCGAAAAAAGCCATATCCGGAACGGCTTCAGAGAACATGTCCCTGAAACACTTTAGTCGTGGCACAAGTTTCAGAAAAGCTGATCGAAGGCTGGCTGCTTTGGTTCGGGCCATGGAAAAAGAAGACCCAGCAAACACGTTGTAACCGAAGTCCAAACAATAACACTGTCTAGAAAAAAAGAAGAGGACCAAAAAAAGATGGCGCCATGTCGTAAGGAAGGATATGAAACTATAAAATGTAATCGAAGATTTAACCGAGAACCGAAAAATATCGAGACAATTAGAACAAACAGCGATCCTCTGCGCTAAAAAAATAAAATTATACAAGATAACAGAATTTAACCGCGGCGTTCTTGGGGTGGCCTCCACGAGTGGAAGTTTAAAAGATAAGATATCAGTACTGAAAGACCTGTCTATTTGTATTTATGTTATAATAATTAAAGATAAACAACGTAGATGAAGATATATAATATGTAACTTAAATGTTTCTCTAGCACCTTAGTTTTGTCTTTATTTTGTGTAGTGGAAAATAAGAAAGAATACATATGAAACTGATTCGCTACACTTGCACAGTAGGCATCACCGTAATCAGCTGCTTGAATTCACCTACGATTTAGGTGAAAGACGTTTTATTAGTAGTGTCACTAAAGCAGTTGAGTGTCTCTTCCTAATGACAAATACTAACAATCCGTTGTAACCCTAATACTTAGTAATCCATCTCTTTGAAAGAATGTACTTTATATGAAATGCTTTGTCACTTTGACAACCAGGTAATAATAGTGATTTGTGTTTTAGCTTGTACGCTTCATCCGACACGATTCCTTAAATGGCATCTAAGATTCTGAAAACGGTAAGGCAGTTTTGTGACATGCCAGTGTTATTAGTGTAATATGTACTACAGTAGTTTTATAGATCAATCCAGCAGCAGCATTATTGCAGTTGTTGTTAGCATTAGTATTATTGAAGCAATATATCAATATAGATTGTTGCATTGAATCAGACTATGTGTATGCAGTTACAGTATGACTGAAACGCACGATAAAATGACTCTAGCATTGGCAGTACATCAGTACTACTGTCAGTATATCATAATCATGCTGTTTTATGTGATAATCCCAAAATATAATAATTTAGACTACCGGCCTGACCGGCCTAAACGTCTCCCGAAACCCGCACCACTACCTGAAAATCGTTTACAATCGCATCCTTAGGGGAATTCAGGAAATTCCGGAAGAAGCCGCGTACCGAAAAAGCGTTGAGCGCATCGTCGGCGAACGACTTCGACTCGTAGAAACGGAACCAGACCCTATCAAACTTGAGGAGAAGATCGGCATGGGACAACTGGAGGAGGTGATCACTCAGGTAAAGCATCTGTTTTAGTAACTTCATGGTGGATATTCGCCTATTAATGACGTTAAATGGGGTAAGCGATCACTCAGCGGATCGCTTTACGTCGAAAATTTTAATCGTAAATTTCCGGCGGTGACATTGGCCGCATTTTTTCTTCAAATTGGTGGGTCGCTTTCGCCTCGACATGAGACCTTCTTTGGGCGCTGTGACTTTATTTCTGAGGATCGAACTTTTCAACCTTGAAACTACTCATGCTGTGGTGGTCTCATCGCTGTCATCAGCGACTGCTTATTCCGTGCAGCTAACCAGCATATCTGGAGGTCGTTTCCATCTCTACAACTCGAGAATTCCAGCTGGTACTGATGCAGTAACCTTAATCCAGTTCAGATGACTGAAACAACATAAGATTCGTTTATTGAGTGTAACCATATTTTTTGATATTAGAATTAATGATACCGAATTTTAACGGCAACGTCATACAGTGTAAAGAAAAAAAATTTATTTCTTACTTTACACCGATTCTACGGTAGTGTAAGACGGATGAAAATTAGTCTGATATTACCGGAATATTGAACCGCTCCCTTGCTTTTGGTCGTCTAAGGGACCTTTGAAGCAAGCCACGGCTGCAGGGTATTTTAACGCTTGCAGGCAATAGGACGCAAGGTCTTGTTCAAGTCCAAGCATCACTATTCTTACGCGTAGATATACAAAAAGAAGATGACATAACTCAGATGTTTCAGGATAGACTTCATGACTGGGAGCGGTCGATACCGGCATCAATATATAATATTAAAATTTGTAAATCATATTTTTACACATTAACTCCTTAGACTCATTTACAGATTATCGACACTTCAAGGCCAACTAGGCTCGTTGTTGAAACGTATTTAGAAAATGATTTTACTATTGTGTTTAATCTGCTGCATAAGAAATATTACGATCTCTTCCTGACTTCATAATAGCAGATATTTTCCTGATATAGTCCTCACATATTCTACCATGTTGTCCATGCAGGGTTAACACAAGACAGTGGTAAATAGGTAGAAAACCTTTAATTGTACTCTCTTTAGCCGCGGGCCTCGTAAGCCCTGGGCTATCAAAAGCTTTGAATGCCCAGAAAAGGTTGACTATTGAGACAGTAAGGCTGATGACAGATATTTTCACGCAGTTAAAATACAATAGTCTGACAAAACCGTTAGAATCATGGAATCCTCCTATTGAGCACAGGAGCGCATGGACTAGTTGCGGGATATCGTATTTGTCTTCGAATTGAATATTACGAAGCGTATTGCTACCTGCTCGAGGAACAGATGACTGAGTCGATTAATTCCATTTACCATAAGTGTCTGTACTAGTGCTGTGCATCTGCTACGGGAATTTTATCGGTAGTGTACAATAGTGGAATGAAAAACATCGTGAACTTTATCCATAGATACTGCACTGTAAAACGTAGTACCGACTGCTCATTGAACAGGGGATAAAATCCATATCTCCTGTCATCCCGTATTTACAAAGCGTATTCGCACAATTTATTTGTTCCTGGTAGTCTAGGTTACCGTTTAAGTAGACCATGGCGCAATGTCAGTCTTTGTAAGTACCGTTGATCGCTATTACCAGATGTCGATGTCCACGCTCATCTGTCTGAGACAGTTTCTTGCTATATGCTTCGATATCTCTTTTAGCTCATCTTCCCATTTAAGCCCAGGAGTTCTTCTGATTGAGCGTTTGCAGCCCTCTGAATAGCAGTTTGTTTTCATTGGAGTTCATCTATCACCCGTCAGTCGCGCAATGTGACCTAGCCATTGTCGATTTCTTTCTTTCGGAACTGATATGACGCCCTGCATTCCTGCGTATCTTCTGATTTCTTCATTCCACAGTTTGTCCTTATAGAAATTCATGGCATTCATGCTTCACTCTTTCACTCTTAACAGTTCTTCATCCTTTTTCGTTACGTTGATGTCCAGCCAATCTGTTGGTAATGCCATGTTTTTAATGCAGGCATTGAAAATGGCCGTTTGCTAGTAAGCCCGTAAAATCCGGCGTTTGTGTATAGAGGATATAGGTTAAATCGAATTTTTGCCGTAACATGTATTAAAGTATAAAATGTGAGTAACGCAGAAACTGGATTTGCATTGTAGCTTTTGACCCCCTTCAGTGGCACTCTAAAGGTGAAACTTTTTATGATTCCCATTGAAACTGTCCCCTTCAGACCATTACTCTTCATTATTATTAAAATGGTTTGGTACAAATCAAGAAGTTACCCCTGTTGGAACTCGATCCAGATCCCCATGACTACGACGAACTACCAGTGGAGTAGGTGAAACCTGGCGTAGCTTCCGGCACGTTCAGATGATATGCCTTTATTGGTATCGCATCTGACTTGAGTAAAAGTAGGGAAGATAACTTATATCGTTAGCCCGTTTTAGATCATACTCAATATGTCCATAGTGTCAGGAGAGGCGATACTGAGGCAAACGTTGGTCGCTTCCAATTATTTAATAGTTTGTTTAGTGCTTCCCTGAACTCAGTGAAATCCTTCGTACAGTGCTTCCATTTTTGTTGTATATTATAAGATCTTTACAGTGTATTGGAGAGGATGCCGTTTCGTGAAATTTTAGGAATCAGCGTCAATTATTTCTATTCTTCGTTCATATTTTATCACTTCTCTTTTTTAGTTTGATCTATGTTAGGTAAAATATTGCGTTTATATTTTGTTGTGCTAATCATGGAATCACAGTATATGTACATTTATCATTTGAGCCCTTGCAGCCATCTACAGAACGGTGTCGGTATTAGTTTAAGAAGTCAACGAAAGACTTTATTCAGATTCCTAGTAACGACTACCTCATTCATTATCATGATAGACAGTGATCATTATTAATGGGAGTCTCTTTCAGAAATGTAGGTAACGTGACGGAAATATGTCTTGTTGTCTTTCTGAATTTTTCTCGGGAAGAAGTAGCAAGTAAACTAACATCATTCGGGCTTTTTATCCCAGTTCAAAATAAGATTTATATTCCCTAAGAGAATGTAATGTACAACGCTGAGGGTTCTGACGGCGCGCTCTTGCCGCTGCTGCCTCGTTTCTTTTGTCGATCATAAATTTTTCCGTCGTTGAAACAGCCAGCACCTTTTAATATCGAAGTATTTTAATATCGGAGCTGAGTGAACGTGAATTGAGAGTAAATGTCCTTATACAGTTTCAGTACAAGGCGACGGGATGATGATTAAGATCTGTTTCATTAGCCAACCTGATTAGTGTTCGAAAAAAATAGTTTTTTTTACAATTGAGGAAGAATAGACTCTGTCAAAAATATAGTTTCATCGTTTTATGACTGCCTACTTTTCATTATATGCATTCGGGAGGACAGCTGTTACAAAGATGATGGTCAGAGCCTGTCCAAAGAAGTAATTAGTAAATGTGAACACGCATGTGCTGCTGTTATTGAATCAGAATGCCTGGTTCTCCTAACGATATAAAAGCATTTTTTGCTTTGTAAAGTTATTGAATCAGTTTCTGATATCTTTGAAACTGAATTAAATACGTTTCTAAGCATCTACAGAAGGTAATGATAGGA